ATAGGTGCAGTTGAGCTATTGATATACTCAAACTGTCTTGCCCTGATGAGCAACTGAATTCTGCACCAACTGAAGTTCCCAAACCACCTTCAGAGGCAGCCCCACCTATAACACGTTGCAGTAATCTAACCTAGAGGTTACCAGAGCATAGGCAACGGAAGTTAGGCTATCCCTGTCCAGATAAGGGAGCGGGTAGGCCACCAATGAAAGCTGATGGAAGGCACTCCATGCCACTGAAGCTACCTGATCCTCAAGCCACCTTCAAAGGGAGTGTAAAACCCCATTAAGAGCAGGCAATCTCTCAGCCATCTGGTACAGGGAACCACCCACTAACAATGCCTCTGTCTTATATGGATTGAGCTTCAATTTGTTGGCTTTCATCCAGTCCAGGCAAGACAACAGTCTAGCACATCTATTGCCATACCTGCAGATGTAAAGGAATAAGTAGAGCTGTGTGTCTTCAGCATATTGCTGACCACCTACTCCAAAACTCCAGATAACCCCACTTAACAGTTTCATGTCGATGTTAAACAGCACAGGGGATAAAATTGAATCCTGAGGAACCCCACACTGAAGGCTCTACAGGGCCACAGAGCACTCCGCAAGCATCATTCTCTGGAAACGACCATCCAAGAAGGAACAGAACCACCGCAAAGCGCTGCTACCAACCTCTATCTTGGAAAGCTGCTCCAGAAGGATACTATGGGTAATAGTATTGAAAGCTACTATTACCATGGGTAATAGTATTGAAAGCTACTGAGAAATCAAGGAGAATTTATACATGGCAGTTTTTGTGCCAAAACCAGGCCTAAATGCCAACTGAAATGGATCTAGAAGATCGGTTTCCTCCAAGATGGTCTGGATCTTTTCTGCAACCACCTGCTCAAGAACCTTGCTCAAGAAGGGGAGATTAGCAACTGGCCAGTAGTTACTTGGAGTTTCCAAGTGCATGGAGCGTTTATTAAGGAATGGTTTTACCACTGCCTCCTTCAAGCAGGCAGTGACAATTCCCTCTCGCAGGGAGGCATTAATAACCTCCCTGGCCCAGCCAGCTGTCCCCTCCCTGATAGTTTCTTTCAACCAAGAGGGGCAAGGGTTCAGAGTGCATGTGTTTGCCCTGACCGATCCAAGCACCTTGTCCACATCCTCGAACCTTACCAACTGAAACCCATCCAACATAAGAAGACTAGACCAGTGTTTCCCAACCTTTTTTGGGCAAAGGCACACTTGTTTCATGAAAAAAATCTCGAGGCACACCACCATGCCAGATGGGGAAAGGTCACTTTTTACTTATGTAAAAAAAAAATAAATAAATAAATAGTAACAGCATAGAAGGTAATGGTTAGGCTAGCATCCCTCTTCCAAATATGCTAGGTTTTTATTTGCAGGGACTGTTCTACATGGGAAAGCATTCAGCACTGTCATTCTCCCATCTGAATTGGTACTATTCTGGGTCAACTTACTCTGCTGCATGTGTAGATGAAAATGGCACCAAGTGTGGGGGAGGGGGCAGAACAGGTTTCAGATACAGGATATTAAGCATACACGTACTTCAGATTGAACTGGTTGCTTGCTTTGCAAGTTTTCATTTCCCAAATGACTGCCTTGGCAAGCGCAATACCTACCAGGCTCAACGCCGGTCTCGCGCTGCTGCTTCCCGCGCTCTCAAGGACCCGGGAGGAGGAAGGCGTGAAGGCAATCCCGAAGGCGCGAAAACGTTATCAATTGCTTCTTCTTGTACAACTGCAGCCAGATCCTACCCGTATTTACTCTGGAGTAAGCCCTAGTTTGTTCACGGGGTTTTGCTCCCGCGTAAGTGTGCACGAGGGATGGCAGCCTTAAATATCGGGGAGACGCAGGAGTCGCCTGCGCTGCTGTAATTCCCCCTCCTTTTGGGGAGGGAGGCGCTGGGCTACTGTGTTTACTTGGAAGTCCCACGGAAGTTAATGCATTATTAGGCTACTACTGGCTTAAGCCGGTGCCCGCCTTCATCCCTAGGCGAGAGGCACAGAGTTCTATTCCGCCCGGGCGCTGCCTCTTTAAACGAGCGCGTGGTTGAAGAAGGCGCTTGCCCAGCTCCCCTCTGCGCCTCGGAGGGCGGGTTTGAGCACGCACAATGCGCCGCCCTCCCGCCCTGCGCCGCCGCCGTCTCGCGCTCCTCCCTTTTGCGCGCGCTGCCCCGCCGCCGCCCCATTGGCCGGGTCCTGTCAGCTGATCCTGTGTTATTTCCTGTGTGTGTGTGTGAGGGGAGAATGGAGAGAGAAACCTCGGCACCACCACCGCGGAGCCGCCCCCGGCTCGACGCGGATCCTCGCCGCCGCCGCCCCGCCTCTCGCCGCCCGACTCGCCCGCCTCCCTCCCACGGCACACCAGGCAACGTCTCGCGGCACACTAGTGTGCCGCGGAACACCGGTTGGGAAACACTGGACTAGACGGTGCTCTGGATTCCCCTTGAAATTCATGTGCTGTAACAGTGGAGTCAAGATCCCTGTGGATGCAAGCGATTCTATCCTAAAAATGCTTTGCAAACAAGTCACAGGGAGTCTCCAGTACTCTTTCCTTTCATGGAAACTGATCCTTTAAAAGTCTGAAATCTCTTACCCTTTGGATAAGTGTTTATATGCGTGGGGAGGAAGAGTTTGAAACACAATGTTTTTCATGTTTTGTGAGATCAGCATAACAGAAATAGCAGCTTACATTTATGTTACAAGTTCAGCATTTTTACCACTGCATTTTGCTTCCTGCTGAGCATTTTCAAGTAAAATACCATGAGAAAGAAAGTAAACACACCTGCACACCCCAACACACATAAAAAGGCCAGCATGAATCCAAATTCTGGTTCCTAACGCCATCTAGTGACTGGCTTCTGTTCTAAAATATAGGAGTAAATAGTCTACCAAGAGCTAATTCAATGCTTTTTTAAAATCAGGACTGTGTGGAAGCCCCAGAGTCTGAAGGTATCTCCAAGGGGTTCCACAACTTTTAAAATCTCTTCACCTTTCCTTCTTGCACCAGCCTGTCACTCACACTCTTAAGAGTGGGAATGTCTATTTGTAACATGTGGCCTAGTCTTAGTACAGTACTAACATCTTAAATTGGGTCTGGTAGCTCCCTGACAGTTAGTGCAGGGCTTTCAGAACAGGTGTGCTACTGGAATGGTTTTATTGAAATGTATTGTTTTATATGTCTTTTTTGTAGTTAAGTGAAGAGTAAGTCAAATAGATAATAATAATGATTTATTAAATCAAGTTTCCATCACAGCTTCTAGTAGAAATTACCTTTCACATCTTGATATTCTCAGTGAGGTATTTTTTAACTCCTGGGCCCAGTTCTGTAACGGAAGGGAGAGTGCAGCTCTAGACTTTTTTGTGCTGACTGGTGGGAGTTGTAGTACATCTGGAGGGTATTGGGTTGGTGAAGGCTGTTCTGAACTTTGTTTTTGTTTTTTTTAGCCATCCAAGTTTGGGCTTGTTAAACTTATAACTAAATTCCACAATAGAATTGCTCTTAGGCAGAGGCCAGCATAGTGCTGCAGTACTAACTATTCCTCCTTCTTGTTGGCTATAGTCAAATGCTTTCTCAGACATTGCTTTTTATAATTGTGCAAATGGTTTGTGCATCCATTATGCATGTGTTTAAAACATTAGCAAACTTTGATCTATTGTTGTATTAAAGGCAAGCTTTCTAACCTCCTTAAAGTGGGTGTAACGGCAGTGTCAGTCCAAGACATTTTGGTACCGGAGGCAAACCACAAAATGCTTTCTCCCCTCCCATTAAGGAAGAAGGGGTGGATTACGATTTACAATGTGACCAAGTGAGGGGGGTGGAATCAAATCAAGCTTGCCTGACAGTTGATGTGGAAATCAAAGCCCATCATGGGTGGGAAAGAGGCCCATTCTAAATTATGACAGGTGGGTGCAGAACCCAGGAGACTTCAGAGGGCAGTCCCATGGGCATAGTTATCAAGTAAATAAATAAAAATACTTAACTAAAAATAGAAATTGTAGAGATTTTGACAGATTTTCCTGAGCACTGGGAGTCAATATAAAGTAATCTAAAACAACTGCTGTTGAGACATTTAATTCCAAATCTGCTAGGCAGAGCTGGACAGAGGTTAATGACAGGTAGGTGTCTAGCCCCAGCCTAACAAAAATCCTGGCTTCCTGCCTTCCTAACATAAAACCTGCTTAGGGCCTTCTAGGAGCTGCTCCCTGCAAGGTCTCTAAAGGCTTACTGTTCTAGGGGGTGCATGGGTAGTGGTGGGTCTTTGTTGTTAAGCAAAGGTGTATTTGGATAGTACAGTGGTACCTCGGGTTAAGTACTTAATTCGTTCCAGAGGTCCATTCTTAACTTGAAACTGTTCTTAACCTGAAGCACCACTTTAGCTAATGGGGCCTCCTGCTGCTGCCGTGCTGCCGGAGCCCGATTTCTGTTCTCATCCTGAAGCAAAGTTCTTAACCTGAAGCACTATTTCTGGGTTAGCGGAGTGTGTAACCTGAAGCATATGTAACCTGAAGTGTATGTAACCTGAGGTACCACTGTATGGCTTTTGAGGTTTTTTTTTTACAAAAACCCTTGCGATTTTGCTGTCTTAAATTTTTGCAAGCTGCTTGTTATTGCTTGAATTCTGCAGATTTGAAAACTTTTTGTGGGCTGTATTGCGGGCCTTTTGCCCATATATAAATATACCACTAATAACACAGCGGGGCTTACCTCCGCGTAGACATGTACGCATAGGACTGCATTGTTAGGAGTTTTAACAACAAGGACGCAACAGCAGGTCAAATTAAAACGAACCCGGCCCCTTTAAAAGTGTCAACGAAAGGGCTGAGCATAGAACGGCACTACGCATGCGCACGCCGCCCAAGCCTGCCTGAAAATTCTTCCCTTCACCTTACTCTCCCACCGCTTTTCAAGGGAAATATCACGCACGCACGCGTACTTCCGGTGGAGAACGACCGTAGGGGGAATATGAGGACTTATTTCGTGCGGCGCGGAAGGTTCTCAAGGCGCGTGCGCGCCGCGTAGGGTGGAAACGGGGGCTCTAGGGTGTGAATTTTCTGGCGCGGCCGGAAGTGTCCGGAGAGACCTGAGCGCAGCGTCCGATTTCTCTCCCGCACCCCCCGCCCCTCACCCACTGCGGGCACTATGGAACCGGGAGCTTGAAGGAGGAGCTGCTTGCCTTTGCCCCAGACATGCTAGCCGGCCCCCTTGGTGCAGGTAAGCGCGGCCAGGCGACCCCCCCCTCCGCAAAAGAACCACGGCCCACGACGCGCTCTCCCTCCGCTGGGCCCGCTCCCTCACCCGCTCTGACCTCTGCGCTCCGGGCTGCCTGGCTCCTTTATTATTCCCGGGTTGGAGGCCTCGACGCCCGATCCTGGCGCCTCCTTTCCCGGGAGGGTGTAGTCGGAGGCGGGGGGGGGTCTTCTCCGGGCTGCCTCCCTCAACGGTGTGCGCGGTTGTGCCTCCTCCTTCCCGGCAGACCGTTCCTGGGAGAAAGTGCTCCCTGCGGGAGAGGAGTTGCTCTTGTTTCCGGTGGATCCTGGAGCCCCCCATGGGGCGTTTAAGCAAAGCTAGGCCCTGCCGAGGCGAAGCAATATCCCTTTCCCCACTCCCACCCTCTCGAGGAAGAGCCCTTACAGCAGCTGCCTGAGTGAGTTAACGATTGCACTCCAGTTTGTAGTTGTTGTTGCTGCTGGGCAAGGTTGGCCAGCTGGCAAATTCTGGGTTCACTTCTTCTCCCAACTCGGAAATAGGTAGCAGGATTTAAACTTAAACAGCCAGAGACACATGTTTATTAGGCAAAGATGCTGACACTGTTGGTCAAGCTCAGGTGGATGGAAACTATACTGATGGCATGTCATCAAGAGGGACTTGAGGTATAAATGGAGCCATGTGTTGTCATGAATTTGTTTGCGCCTGTTGCTGCTTTTACCTTTTGGCACTCCACAGCTTTCTGCAAAAAAGAGGGGTAATTATAGTGCTTTGCGACAGAGGAGTTGTAAAAATCGGCAACACTGATGTGCGAGAAGCACTTTGAAAAAAGCGCTATGTATAAATGCTACGCATTAATACTGTTTGTGGAAAGAGTTTATTCCCTTAAAGCAGGGGAGCAGAACCTGTGGGTCTCCTGTTATGGTTGGCTCCTCATGCCCATCAGGTCCAGCCAGCATAGCCACAGTCACAGATTATAGGAGTTATTGCTGAAAACATTTGGAGGGCGAGAGGCTGGGACGCTGTCTCATTCCATTTGGGCTGTAGTCTGTAATCCAGTCTGTGTATTTACTGCCTTTCATCCTAGTTGTTTGAAAACCTAACTTGAAATCCTGGCTTCTTTGAAGCTAGAAGTTATACTCTTACTGACAGGATTTTGCTGTTTTGTCTCATGCCTGAAGGCAAACAGCCAGTTACTCTACTCGCTGATTTCCCCAATTTAGTTGTTTTTTAAAGTTATTGCTATGAAGATCCTGTTTTTACTAAAAAAACAGGTTTGCAAAAGGACTGCTTTTCAAAACCTGGTAATGTAATACCTTGGACATATTCATAAAAAAGAATTCAGTGTTGCACTCTTCTGATTGTTCTATCTGTGCAAGTATTGTATTCCCCCCCCATGCAGTTCTGGGGGCTTTCCTGACCCTCCCCAAGCCAATTTCATAGGCAGGAGGAGAAAGCCTCATTGTGCAAGTAGAAGTCCTTATGAAAGTAGAAGTAGAATCCTGCCCACAATACCTATGAATTTGTATGTGGATATATATTGGTTTATGTTTTGTTTTGAAGTTCTAAAAAATAAAAGTAAAAATGCAGCAATTAACCTAAGAACCTGGCAAATTATAGGCTCAGATCATATGCACATATGCCATTTTCAGTCCTCAGCAACCCAGTTGGAAAAAGTACTCAGAATAGTAACACTTCTTGAAAGACCATACATAAAATAACTTAAGATACCATAATTATTGCGGATTAGCTGAATAGCATTTCTTCCCACTCTATATCCCTTCAGTGGTCTACATGCCATTCTGAATATATGTGTGAGCTGTGCCAAAAGCAGCTTACAACAAACATTCAAAATATCAAAATACAAAGCAATGGGGTGGGGTTGTTGCTCTTGCAAAAACATGCAGTTGTGGTATTTCTGCTGTGGCAAAGCAGTGTGGTTGTACATCTATGAACAAAAAACTCCACATGAAGCAGATCAAAAATAAGTATACCAGAGAGTATGTGTCATTGTTCTTGCTATGTGAAAATGCAGAAGAGCAAAAAGGAGATCTTTGTTTGGGAGCACAATATACCATAGTAAAATTCTGTAAGAGAGAATGGGGAAGGTGTCTACCTTTATGGTGTGGTGCTGAAGGGGCATTTTTGCATACTCCCTCCCCTCCCATAACAATACAATGCACTAAGTAAGGAATCCTCTGGAGCACTATTCTTTTGTAAGCATAATGGTAGCAGACATAATGAACAAGAACAATAGAACAGTTATGCAAATATATAAGAAAAACTCAGCATTTGAGAAAAATAATGCAACTTGTGGATGCATTTCTTGTATTATAAACTTAAGACCCAGATAAGCTGGAAGCCGGGAATGCTTTTTGTCAATTATGTTTAGCGCGTAGGCTGTGCACATTTGGAGGTCAGTTATCTTGCTTTATTTATCTGCTTTTTGTAACATGTAAGGTTTACTACTGTAATGCAGTTATGTGAATCTGCCTGTTAGACTATTGTGCAGAATGCCACTACTAATTTCCTGACAGGGAAGCGGGAGCATATTCAACAGATGTGGCAAATGCATTGGCTTGTTGTTTGCATCTGTGTCCAGCTTAAGCTTCTGGCACTTGCCCTTTAAAGCCTTTCATTTTTTGAGACCTGAATACTTGAGAGACTCCCCCTCTGTAGATCCCATGCTCTTATGAGCCTTTGCCCTGTGTGGTTAGACTGGAAGTAGTGCCCATACTATAATGGCCCTAAGTATTACCCATTTCAAGAGGTACAGTGTTAATCTCATTGCCTTCTTGAAGGTGTACACAACCATTTATCTTGGTAGGCATTCACAAAAAAAGGTTGTGTTTCTGCTCTTACTACATTTTTGTTTTTATATTATAGTTATGTAAATGTTTGGGTTGTGTGAAGTCTGTTGATTTCAAGCAGACAGACTGCTTGGTAAATATGTTTAGGATTGAAGTGAGTGGCTCTGTTTGGTCTTATATATGGAGATTTAAAAGCTTAGAAATACTATCCTGGCTCCAATATAATCGGAACAATAATAAACAAATAGTAGTAGTTAAAATGTTCCTTAGGTGAGTTCTATAGGAAAGGCTTACATTCAAAGCCCAAAGGAACCAGCTCCGAAAAGAAAATACTTGGCTTGCCCTCAAGGCTCTACAAACTTTGTTTGGAAAAAGCCAGCAAATTTAATTAAATCTTTATTACTTAAAAAAACACCACACACACACACACACACACACACACACACAACCAAAACTCTTCTGTAGGACTAGGAGAAGCTTTGGGCATGGTCAAGTAAGTTATGTATGTTGTTGCCTCCCTTCACATCAACTGTCCTGGGAACTCTCAGGTTGAAAGGAGGAATACAAATCAAATAATAACGGAGTAGCCTCTCCTACAGCTCCGTGTGCAAGATATGTCATCAATGTACTGGCCCGCTTCACCAGCTCCCTGCTCTAAAGCTCCTCCTAGAACTGGGGAGTTAAGAATTTTAGGTCTTAGTACAGGGTCTGCTGGTGTTTGGGGTTTTTAAAACTCCATCCTCTTCTTTCTTCTTTCCTATCTTTTGGGTCTCAACCGTTCTGCTTCTCAAGCTCTTTTGGCTCTCTGATCGCCCTTCAGTACATAGCGCTACTTGTCCTTGGGCCTTCTGTGAAGTTTCCCCCAAAGTGTGCAATGGGGAACCTGTGGAGTGTGGACCTTCATATGTTGTTTGAATACAACTACTGCCATCCCTTAACATTGGCTGTGCTGCTGGGACTGATGGGGTTGGAGTCAAACAATATCTATAGGACCATTAGGACCATAGGTTCCCTATTCCATCCATGTTACATGTTTGAAGAGGTTGCCAAGGAAGCAAGATGACACACAATATTTCAGTACATCATTAAATTCTCCATTAGGCTATAATTACTGATGTTTGGATTTTGGATGTCAGGGAACAAACTAACAGTGGCTGTGTTTGGACGATCATACCATGGCTTAATAATGTATGCACAGACCTTTTTGCCCCTGTACTTAGCCCCATGGCTCCCATTCTTGGTGTACCACAGTGAGCCAGGAAGTGCTCAATTGATCATAGTTGCCTGTTTCATATGAAATGGGAAATGTTGCCTCGTTTGGAATGAGGTGGTATTCTAGACTAACGTCAAAATACAGTTTTAAGTTCCTGGCTTATTTGAAATCTGCTAATGACCATTTCCTATTTCAGCCAAAACAGGCAACTATGGGCAGTTACGGTAACTTAATGTGGTACAGCAAGAGTGGGTGCCATGGGGACCAAACTACAGCACACTGAGAGACTGGACTACATGCATGTGCTTGGTCACTTCTCAGCTTAGCTAATAAAGATGAATTATGTTTCTATTTCTGCCTATTTCTAAAGTTGAATTAATGTGTAGTGTACAAACTTTAAAGTGAAGAAAAATCTGTTGGCATCTAATAGATCTTGTCTGCTTGCACAAGTAGTACACCAATTGGGCATGGAGGGAAACAATTCCCTCCCTGCTTGCTGCAATGCCCCCTAAATTGGGTTTAAAGAGTCCCCCAACCCAGAACAGATTTAGGGATGTGTGGTACTGCGGGGGAGGAGTATTGATACCTGCCTGCCTCCCTATTCTGTTGGTGTTTTCTTTCTGTCAGCCAACAGTTACAGTAAAACCTGTATAATAATTAGCCTAACAGTAAGAAGGGTATAAAAATAGAATGACACCAGGGGGGAAATGCAACAGAGAAGAGATGAGCTTATATTAAAGGAGGACAAGAGGATGCTTGCTGAGAGGAGAGAATTCCATGCACCAAGGGCCAGGAGGGTGAAAGAGATGGCATCTGCACAGGAAATGGCACAAGGAAATGAAGGCTTAATAATAATATTATCATTTCATGAATGAAGGGAGAAAGGAAAAAGTAACTAAGACAGATAAGGGGTAAGAGCAGGAAAATACTTGCAAATTGAAACTTAATTGGGTCAGTAAAGGAAGACTGTGAAGAGAAGCACA